ATACCTCCTGTTCCATCAGCCAGCTGTCCCTCCCTTCCTGTTACAGTTTCAACTACATGGCTGTCTCTGCTTACTCCAGCAGTTCTTCTAGGGCTTCTGGGGCGGGGTGCTGTCCCCGCTTCCCACTTGCTCAGTATGTTTGTCCTTCCTCAGGTCACCGCACCCTCTGCTGGGCCTACCTGCCTCCACTGAGGCTTCCAGACTCTGTAACTCACATAAGGCTAATTGAAGTCCGGTGGCACCCACCACTTACACTACTTAGGGTTTGCAGATCAGTAGGGAGTGCTTGGGGAGTGACGCCAGGAAGGGGAATCGAGAAGTGAGACAGGAAGCAATCAAGGGCAAGTCCCCACTGGTGTGCACGTGGGCTTGCTGCAGCTTGGGACTTCTGAGAGATGGTCTAGACAGGCCTGAGAGCTATCACACTGGAGAGAGGAACTAGGATCCCCTGGCCTTGAGTCTGTTCTAGGAAGCATATGTCCTTCTACCTTCTCTCCCTAGGCTCTCAGGAGGAAGGTTGCCCCACTTGACAAGTTTGTCCTGGGGCCCCGCCCACAGCCATATCTGATTGGACCTGAGATAAATGGCCAGACCAATCAAATTCGTTCCCCTTGGATTCTGGTGGTGGATCTAGACTTGCACTTGAACTGAGAGCCTAGGTGGGTCACACTCTCAGAAGCAGAGAAAGCATGTGTTTGTATGGGTACCCAACGAGTGTACGAAGAGACACAGGTAGAACGATGCAGTTGAGGATTCAACAGAGCAACCTCAGCCCAGGACGATTTGGCTTCGAATTCTATTAATAGGTCCTCATGAACTTGAGCCATGCTTCCTGAATTCTTAACAGCTACAAAGAAATGTTTCCTGTTATCTTTGCAGCAGGTCCGTTTCTCAAAGAAAATCACCCTTTTCTGCTAAAGAAACTTGGCCTTTCGTAGCTTATAAACACACACACACACACACACACACACACACACACACACACACCCAAGAAAGTCACCCTTCAAAGCACTCAGTCTCTGTTCAGTTCATAGCCTGGTTTCACAACGAAACAGAGACCACCATTGGCCACATTCCACTCAAGCCAGCTTATTCTTTGGTTCAAATGCTTCTGTCTTAACTCCCCCGGCAGCCCCCCATCTTCCCTTGACTCCATATCCAAATTTAAGAGCACCTCTTCTATCTCTTTCTCATAAGAGGGAAGCTCACAGAAAGGTGGTCCCTCCCTGCTGCCTCTGCCTCCATCTTTCTCATTAATCCTTACTTCAATGACTGTTTTGCAGGATATGTGGCTTTGGTTGGTTGGTTAATTTGGGTGGAACTGGATATAGATGCCAGGCCTCACACATGCCAGGCAAGTGCTCTACCACTGAGTTCCATCCTGTGATTTTGAAGATGTGATTCAAATTGTCTGTGGGATGTTTAGGTCTGGAAGCTCATAGACTACACAGGTGGGGCTGTCAGAAGGCAGATTTAGTTTGGAGATGTAGATTTTGTATTTATGGATTTGACAAAAAAAAAAGTAATGTACACATATAGTAGAGAAATTTAGTTGGAAGAAAGGGCATTCTTGTCCAATACTCTAATTTCCCCTGGTTAATCAACCCTTCCCAGAGGCCAATTTCATACCCTTCTAGATGCATCAGCTTCATGGGTATGGGACTTATATAGTCATGTCGAGTCCTACCCAGGCTCAGAAGAGACCCAAGCTTGAAACTCTTGACTTTGTCATTATGGAACTTCACAGATTATGCAGCAGGTCTTATTTTAAGCCATGGTCCATGCATTATTAAATATATAATGTAGAATACACATATGTTCTTTCTCCTATTCTTTTGCCTTTAACATTTAGTGATTGTTTACTTATTTATGCAGGGGTGGGGGTAGAACCCAAGGCCTCACCCATGCTAGATAAGCAAGCACTCTACTATGGAGCCACATCTAAGCTTTCTGTGATTTTCTTTTTGAAAAGATTGATTTAATTAATTTGCTTCTTTGTGTGTGTCTGTGTGAGTATATGCCATGTGATTCCAGATGCCCCGAGAGGCCCGAAGAATGTGTTGGATAGCCTGGAGCTGGAGTTACAAGCAGTTGTGAGCCACCTGACATGGGTGCTGGGAACTGAACTCTGGTCCTCTGCAAGAGAATCCTAACTGCTGAGCATCTCTCCAGCCCATAGATGAAGCCATGAGATTTTGAAGGTGCTTTGTTATGGCTGCAGAATCTGTCCTGTGTTGACTGACAGAGACAAAAAAGTGCTGAGAGAGAATCACTGGAGCTGATTTTTTTTTAAAAAGGTTTTATTTATTATTTTATTTTATATGTATGAGTGTATTGCCTGCACGTATGTGAGTGCACCCATGTCATGCAATGCTATGGAGGTCAGAAGAGGGCCTCTGCAAGAGCAGTCAGTGCTCTTAAATGCTGAGCCATCTCTCCAGCCCCATGGAGCTGATATTTATAAGAAAAAAAGAGTCATAGGAACATAAGACAGAATCACAGAGGCAAAAATGAGAAACCAGGCCATAAGACTAGTGAAGCCACAGAAATCAGGGAGAGAAATTATCCCAAGCAGTAGAGTGGTCCAAGGTGCTGAACGCATCCAAGAGGTCAAGCCAAGTAACAATCAAATACAGGTCCAGTAAATTTAGCAACTGAGAAGTCATTGCTAACTTTATGAAGAACAGCATCCATGAAGTGGTGGCGGTGATGGAATAATGAAAAGAGAACCGAAAAAAGGAAGACTATGAAAGATTCATGGGAGGATGAAGTGGGTGAGCACTGGAGTGATTTGCCTGTTCTAGACATTTCGTATAAATGGAATCGTGAGATGTAGCCTCCTGTGTCTGGTTCCTTTCACATTCTCAAGGTTTATTACCACATATGTCAGTGCTTCATTCCTTTTTATGACTGAATAATATTCCATTATGTGGATGTGCACATGTTGCTAATCCATTCTTTAGTGGATGGACATTTTTAGACTTGTGTGCCTGTTCACTGTTATATCCATTAGTTCCTGCTGATCTGGGAATGAATGAATGAATGAATGAATGGCATGAACAGAACTATCCAGTCACAGAGTTGTTATCATATAAAGCCAGGGCTGGAAATCAGGCAGTTAGCCTTCTAAGCCACCAGACCTTACTGTCCTAATGGGAGCCCTGCCATCTTTTTTATTTTTAAAATTGCATTCATTTATTGTGTAGTGTATGTGTATGTGTGGGCACAAACTGCAGGAGTTGGTTCTCTCCTTCTACTGTGTAGGTCCTAGAGATCAAACTCAGGTCATCGAGGCTGGTGGCAAGCGCCTTTACCCACTGAGCCATGTTAGTATCCCTCAGAGTTCTGGAAAAACAATGACGTATTTAAGTGGAAAAACTACTGATGGGTCATTCACAAAGGTGTGGGGCAAATTAAGAGAATGCATTAAGAGATGGTGTGCAGCTTGAGGCTAGTAATGTAGGGAGCCTGGGGAGCTCCCAGGCCTGAGGACAAAACCAGAGCCTCACTAGGAAGCA